AGTGTCAACATGTGAAGCAGTGGGGTGATAATTAACGAAGAAAATTAGCATACACACAATTAAAAGGTAGAAATGGTTAGAATAAATTAATTTTACAAGGGTAACACGTAATTAAAGATGAAATGGTCAGAAAAAATAAAAAATAATTTGGACAATGATAATTTTTATAATTTTAAAGGTTTAGGGGGAAGGGGGCGAAGTAGTCCGGTTTACACATTCATGTAACGGTGGCCAAGGCAAGGAAAGTGGCTGCACAAATTTCTTCCGGACACACAGGTTTGGCTTCTTCAGGTGGATTCCTATTGCTTCAGCTGTCTGTAGAAGACGATCTCGTAGAGTAAAATGAAGATTTGTAGGAATGCGATAGATAATTTTAAATGCAGTATTAACATCAACCTTATGCTCAGTAGGTGTCTACAAGGTGTGCTAAAATAGAGCTACGAATAGATCTTGTTTGTCCCCTGCTTAACCATGTTGGATGATGTTCGGAAATACGACGGATGACTTGTTATCCTTGTAAAGTTAATTTATTCTAACCATTTCTACCTTTTAATTGTGTGTGTATTGATTTTCTTCGTTAATTATCACCCCGTTGCTTGACATGTTGACACTGACTGACTAATTATTGTTAACAAACATATCAGTGCCACTTGATTGGTAAACTGTTGTGTATTGTAATAAAAATGCTATACAGAATATATTAGAGTAGAGCCAGAGAGAGGTGAGGATCTAATTGAAAAGTAAATATTTCTTCGCTCAACCTTTCTGTTTTCTAAATGTCTAAATGGGGATTTTTTCTAAATTTTATATATATTTGATTTTGAACCCTGAATAATAATAATAATAATAATAATAATAAAACCACTATAAACAGAATGTTGATGGAAACATAATGAAGTATAAGTAGATAGGATCATAGATAACACATGTAATAGCAATAATCTCTGCTTATTCTCACTTTGCACTTCAGTTACTACTGATTTAAGTAGTTTATAAGTTCCTTTCTGACATCTGACTCTCTTCACACACAAAACCCGTGCTAAATATGGTGGTATGGTAAAATTTTTATATTTAGTAGCTGTACGAGCATAAATTCTTATGAAGTTTCTTCTGGTTTTACCCGCGGAGAGATTCTAGGAAATAGTTGCGAATAAGTCAAGAGAATGTTCAGTATCAGAGAAGATAACTTTAGCCAATTGCTTGCAAGTGTTGAAGTGCCTACTGACAATAATGTCAGTCAGCTGAGTCAAAGGCGCACACCACTAACCCTACTTACAGCCTTCAGTGTTCTACGTAGTATGACAGTCATTTATGAGAAGTCCAAGGGAGGATAAGTGGGGAGAGGAACAATAAAGAAGAATGAGCAGAATGCATGAATTAGTAAATTGTAAGAGAAAAGGTTCAGTTATTCATACCAGCAGAAACTTTCAACTTCTTTATGTAATTAGTCATGTGGAAATTCCTCCTGGAAATCAACAGGATATGCGACGATCAACAGATGCCTATGAAACAACATTCAATTCGTCAATCCAATTTTCAGAGAAAATCAAAAACATTCAAGTAGAAGACAATGAAATAATGGTGTCCTTTGATGTCACAACATTATATACTTCAATTAGTCCAAAACTAGCAGCAGAAACTATGCAACAATTACTCTATTGTGATGAAAACATAAAAACGCAATTATCAACTTGGATAGAACTCATAAAATTATGCCTTACAACCCACTTCCAATTCAATACTCAAATATATGAACAAATAAAAGGAACACCAATGGGATCGCTCATATCAGGATTAATAGCTGAAGCCGTCATGCAAAGATTAGAATTAATAGCTCTACCTATAATTAAACCGAAAAACTGGATACGTTACGTTGATGATACATTTGTAATAATTAAGAGAAATGATTTAGAATATAATCATAAATTAATAAACAACATATTTAAAGACATCAAATTCACAAGAGAAGAATTAGATAACAAAATCCCACTTTTAGATGTCTTAATCAGGAGAACCAACACAGGAAATTTAGAAACACAAGTATATAGAAAATCAACGCACACAGATCAAATACTCAACTATACTAGCAATAATCCAATTACTCACAAACGAAACTGTGTGCAGACATTGTTTAAAAGAGTTCAAACACATTGTAGCACTCCAGAGTTGAAAAGAATGCAAGAAAAATACCTACAGACAGTCTTCGAAAAGAATGGTTATCCACAAAATTTCATCAAAAAGTGTTTAAAGTCGAATCACAACACCAACAAGAAACCGTCATCAAAGACCACAAGAAAATTCATTCTACCATACATGAAAAATATCTCTGAAATAACAGCTAGAATACTGAAACCGTTTGAAATAGATATAGCACACAAGCCAGTCAAATCGCTTAATTCGATATTATGCAAACCGAAAGATCCAACAGAAAAAGGAGATAAAATTAATACCATTTACAAAATAAATTGTATGAACTGTAACAGGCATTACATCGGCCAAAGTGGGTGTCCCCTTCAAATCAGAATCCAGGAACACAAATCAGCCATGAAAAGACACGATATATATTCTTTAGTATCAATGCATATAGACAATTATGGTCATCAATTTGATTGGGATAATGTCAAAATCTTAGACAGAGGAAACACCAAAAGTGCAGTCAGGAAATTCCTAGAAGCCTGGTACTCAAACGAAAATGCAATTAACAAACACGGTAATATAGACCAAATATGTCAACTAATAAAAAGTAAATCAGGTGACCAGAAAATTTAAAATCCAAGTCAATAGAAAATGGTCAATACATATGTAAAGATGGTTACCAGGAGACGCAAATATATCACTCATAAAGAAATTTAAATCATTTCACTTTATGCTAAATATTGCGCTGAAAGGGGATGTTGTCCAGCAGGGGGTCGACGAAAGCTCCGCAACTAAACAAACCACCTCAGAGAACACTATTACTTGCAAAACATTCAATGCCACAGACTGAAAAGAACTCCGAAGTCATCCAAACAAATGTCACATAAAAAATGTTTCCAGTTCATACTTTAATGTAAAATATTTATGTAATACTTCTTTTCATTATATAATTTAATAATTTCGATTGTAACATTAAAAATAAAATATCCAGCGAAGAAACTCTTTTCAACGAATTTCCTTTTTTCAATAGATAAGCATATCGATGGACGACTTCGCTACATTTAGTCCCTTTGCTGTGAACGACCTCAATACTTTTAATGCTAATAACATTCAGTCAAGGTTATTTTTCAATATTTTATTATTGATCGACTGTTCTCTACACAATTTTAAATATATATTATGATTGCTTTAGGCTTATGTCTTCAAGAAACTGCCAGTGTAGACAAATATTTAAATATATACAGTGCACATTCCAGTTACCAAAATGAATTAACCTGGGGTTAAAAAGTAGATTAATAACGACAGTAATAACTAAATATTAACTGAAGAAACTACTGGTTTACCATTCGATGCTTGTGATATCTTGAGCTTCTAACACTACTTAGCGCTTCCATTATAATGTAAAAGTCCCGAAATCAACCAATTTAACTATCTGAAAAAGTACATTTTATGCTTCTGTATGTCTTAAGAAATTTCAGCCTTTTATTTTAAGTAATATACCTATCATAATGCAACTGAATACTTAAAGTAATCTTATCAACAAACACTTTGATGGAGCTTATTTAAACCTACAGTAAATGAAATTTAAACAATGAATTTTCAATCTAATCATAATATTTGAGCATTAAATGTCTTCAAAATTTATTAGTCCAAACAAAATTCCAGTTTAGTAAGTTTAAATGCTAGAGGGTAGATAAAAATTTCAATGATTTACATTGAATTTTGAAAAATCAAAAGAGCCTAACCCAAAAAATGGTTGTCAGAACAATAGAAACAAGTGGCATAACCAATTTATCATTAATTTCTCTATTCATTGGATATGTTTAATGTTTCTATTTATGTTATCATAAATAGTATATCAGGGAAAAGATTTCAATTCATAAATTAATAATTCCACCCGAAGAACTTAATATTATACTACTTACCAAAAAATATAATCCCCTGAAATTCATTATAGAAAAATTCATGAAATTTTACTTTGAAAACAATCTTAAGAAGAACTGAAAGTCAAAAATTAGAACTTCCCTTTGGTAACAGTATCTAAAAGCCATTCAAACCAAAATGGACTGGGAGATATTATGCATTTTATAAATTACTCCCTATGAACTGAATATTTTAATGAAGACATGCGATGTTTACTTCGTATGATCGATGTTGCCACAGTGAGAAGTGATATTTAAGGATTACTTGTAAGGCCTAAAGGAATTCTGGCATGCATATATATGTAATGAACTAAAAGAGTGAGAAAATTAAAATACTTTGCACAGTAAACCTTTATTAAATATTCCACAACTTTCTTTCCATATGATTTTTGTGATAGATGAACTCTAGATGGAAATGGAAAAGGCATTAGTCACTTTCAACACGTCATTTATTTCATTATCGACAAGATTCTAAATGTCTGAACATACATTGTAACACAGTTTTAACCAAAATAAAATCCAGGCCCAATCTTTTTCCGTTTTTCACCTGTTCTTAAGTCTCCTCTCTTCGCTTCTGAGATAAATTCTTCAGGAATAGAGTAATCTTCATTGTCTACATTAGGATTTCGTCTATCATAAGGTTGGATATCATATGCATAAGTCAGTGGTTCTGAGTGAGAATAATAAACAGAAGGGATTGCGTGTAGTGGGATCATGCAAATTAAAAGGAGAAAGTGGATGGATAACATCATGTTGTTAACAATTTATGTAGATAACAAAATCCATGATTCCTTTTTATATGCACAGATAAATATCGATCTGACCTTAAAAAAATTCACAGTTAAGTTAACAAGTAACTTTATTGAAAATTTTGCATAAAAAATGAACTTTACTTCTAAATGTAAGCTGTATTTACGTTGTGCTTATTGTTTATTCGAATCACATAATTTGGAGCGCATTTTATATGGTGCGCTACTTAACCACAGATATCTGGATTCTAAGATTCTTGTTTAGTGTGAGTTTGTTTGCTTGTGTTTGTTAATGTTTTAAGTTTTTACTTTAAGGATAAAGTTTCTTTGTTATAAGGTCGTCACTTTGTTAGGCTTTCTGGAAGAGATTCTTCCAGCGATGTGACTTTTATATGGGTTGTTCTCGTACAACCCTTAGATTCTGACTTCCAACTGATAGAAACATGTTTGCTACCCTATCTGCCTAAATAAGATCTGAATCCGTATGCGAAATGTTTATATTAACTTGTTCCAGGTCTCTGAGTTGCATTTTCACTTAGTTTTAACCCCACAAAGTGATTGGAAGACCGAACATAGATTGTTGCATGATGTAAATCCTTCTGAGATACTTTGTATACAGCTTTAAGCATTTCGATAAACAATTCCGCCCCAATGTCAGTTTCCACTGACAACTTAGTTCTAATAACCTAATGGTTCAAATTCAGACGATCAAAGATAGTACTCTCTTGTGACCTGTGTTATTCGTGTTCTCGTACGCCTTAATCAAGTCAGCTTTCCTTAATTTCCTCATGTGGACCTGTTCAAGTTATTGAACATATTCAAACGGGTCCATATGAGGAAATTAAGAAGCCTGTAGATACAATAATGAATAAGGTTAAGAATTCTACAGCAGAACTAATACGTAGAATGAAGCAGTCTCTGGGTGAGTCTAAATGGTTCAACTTTTCTTCTTCGGCATGATGGTTGGGAGAGAATTAGACGTTCCATTCTGTTCTCATAAAGGTGTTAGATACCACTGACCGATTCTGCTTCCACCCTTTGTATTCTTTTTAAGACACGCGCTTCTTTTTTTGAGGCATAGACTATCCGTTTGTGCTGCTGCTGCTGCATTCAACATAGAACTTTGCACCGAGGTACAGCAGTTCGAGTTGCCACGTTCCAAAGAGCACACAAAGGTAGACAGGAAAATGAGAGAAGAGAATCAATAGAATTTAGATAAGTATAAGAGTGAAACAGAATGAGTAATGGTAGAAAGCAATATGAAAGGTTAAAGAGACTGAATACATCTGCGCCACTGACAAAAATTTTGAGCCATGTCACCTATTGCCACCAGCCATTGATTCTTAGAGTCCCGACGGCGGGCCCCAACCCGGAAGTCTGCATCTCCCTACCTACCTGACTCAGTTTAACTGTCAAGGATTTCATGGATTGATGAGGCCATGTTTTTGTTTGCCGACCACTTACTCTTTTCCAACCTGCACCTATATCAGCTAGTACTATCCGTTTGTACAGTCTTCTAAGTGAGACCTGACATATGTGTGGATTACTTTTGACATAGATTCATCTGATCGTCTGGAAGCCTTTAAAAGTGCCCACAGCATTCGAAAATTCTTAGCTGCAGCTGCATTATCGTCGCAGCTGCTTTCAAATCATGGCTGACAATAATTCCGAAATCCTTTTATCCCTTTGCATCAGGTAGCTCCGTGTCCCTAAAGGAGTACAACGTGTGAAACCTCTGACCTAAGTGCATACCACGCTTTTCCTGGAATTTAATAGTACCAAAAAATACTGTTGGATTGCATTACATAACTCAATATCAAAGTGTCTGGTATAAAGTGAACATGTACCTAATACATCAGAAAACCAGATAAAAAACAGATTAGTTCTTACTGATTAGTTTTCCCCCGTCTCGGTATGTACTCTTTCAAATCGTGGAAAATACCCATTGTGACATTAGAGGGAAAATAACCAGTATTCTTGAAGCAGGTAGTAGTGGAAGGGTACTGCACTGATAATTCTTAAAGCTCTCTTTGATTAAACTTCATGCAATCTTCCACGAGACATCTTTCAAAACTGTATGCCTTTAGTGACAGATGATCAGTTATGTGCAGCTCCTGCTATTTTTTTAATAAGGGTTTCAGGTTAAAGGTTCTTGGAGTAATTTCCTATCACATCCACCTGTCTGCTTTTAGGTTTTTATATCTTAACGGTTAAGGAAATGTGACAACATTAAAACGACAAAAGCTCTACTTTAACACTTCAGAACTCGATATCATTCCTATTACGAAGTATAGTTATTTCTCCTAACTAGTACAAGTATGTACTTCTTGAAAAGTGTTTGTTTCATATGAGCTTCATGATTTTTTAGTTTCTGTACCCGGCTGATTAGCGTAAGCACTCAACTCATAGCCAATGGGCCCTTTGTTGGAATCTTGCTGCATCTTCTACAGCCTGGTTAGCTGGGTAGTACCAGCCCTCATACTATGACTTAAGCTTATAGCCTGTTATGTGTAAGACCTTTTTCGGGTAACGGATTTCAAGTAATGGCCATACTGTATTTTTATTTTATCCAACCATACTTCATTGTCTAAATTAGCTGTCTGTTTCCAGTTGATAAACGGTTAAATTGCATTACATGTCTGGGTTGACACCACATGTTCCGTCTAAACTTGAGCTCTACAATATTCGCTCTGATATGAAGACAAATTTGAACTAAAACTTCATTAATGATGTTTACTGCATCTTACAGACTTGTATTCAAGATTTCAGTAAAGTGGTTTTAAAAAAAGTTTATGTTTGTCAGCTCTAATTGTACACTTCACATGAACTCATTTGGTTATCTTACTCCAACAGTATCCTGCCTTGCTGATGTCAGCATTGCACTACTTGATAGAGCTTAGATTGAGATACTCAAACAGACATTCATCAACAGTCTTTCATGTGTAGTTAAGCTAAAGGTTTTAGATGTGGTAAGAAATGTATGACAAAAAGGTCAACATCTTTCTTTGTCGATTTCTAAACTGTTAATAGATTGAAGTCAATCCTGCCATCAAGTAACATATCTCATACAAAAGCACTCTGGATATCATGGTGTCATCATGTGACTTTAGTGCTCAGTGAAATATGTTCGAAATTGCAAGTTAGTTGCACCTACTTTTTTACCCTAGTACTGAACGGAGCTGGATGCGAAGGTATATACTTATCCTTCATAGTGTAGACAATTAATGGAAGCATACTTACTAGACAGCCTGCCTTCCTCGACGGGCAGTGTTATCTGACATAGGGTCAAGCTGCAAAAGATCTCGTGGTGGTCAAACCAAAACATGACTTCATCAGTCAATGAAATCCACAACAGTTAGTTTAAGCCAGCCACGTAGGAAGCTGTTAACTTCTTGGTGGCTGGTTGGAGCCCTCGGGATTCTGAAAAAACCAATGGCTGGAGACAATTGGTGATATGGCTGGCTCAAAATCCTCGTTCTCAACGGCTTGCGCAGATGCATCCACTCCTTGTGACTTATGATTTCCAATAAAGCTATATTGTTCTTCGATATTACTATTCTTTTCGCCTCATAACTCTTTTTACTGTCTCTGTTTTGCATTGGTTCTACTTTCTTCTCTTGCTTTGTGTGCTACATGGAGGGAGTGTGGCGACTTGAACTGCTGCACATCGTTTGAAAGTTCTATGTTGAAACCAGTTAGTCAGTCAGTCACACACCCTTTAGATGTTGGGTAAGGTTGCTATTTTCGTAGAAGAATTTGTCACTAATAAACATTGAACTTCTGCAACAGTTTGCCCCCTGCCATTCCTCCATATCCATTCTAGCGGATAAAATTATAACACCCCATATGACTTGTTTCAACATAAAACTTTTCACAAAAGCACAACATTTCGAGTTGCCACATTTCATGTAGCACAAAAAGGAAGAAATTAGAGATTTAAAAAAAAAAACTATACTAAGCAGGAATATGAGGGAAAAAATAATAACATAGAAAAATAATGAGGACCCCAACCAGGAATTCTACCTGGTAGCTAGCTGAAACTAACTACCAAACTCTTCATGGATCGATTCCGTGTTTTCGTTTGACCACCACTAGCTGTCTTCCAAGCTGATCCTATGCCAGCTAACGTTCGCCATTGAGAAAGGCGATGACTAGACATGCATAATACATGTCCCAGCTGTCTCAATCGATATAACTTCACAATCTCATTCATTGACTTGACCACCTTACCTAACACTCAACGCTTAACTTCAGTGTTACTCACCCTAATATACCACCTAATATGGGAGATAGAATGCAGACATCTACAACAGCCTATATAAGGCTCCTAGGCCTATAGTTATGAAGCACTTATGAAGGACTGCGTGACCTACTGGTCACAACTTACGAGTTTGATGGAAACACCAAGTGAATCCATCAGTAGTTGAAAACTGTTCAAGTTTATCCAAGCTACAGACGTCGGAATGCTTGGTTTTGTTTGAAACCTTGTGTCGAGCTAAGCATATGACAATAATAATGCCCGGAATTATCGGTTAACCAATTTGAAAATCAATTTGTCTACCATATAACTCCGGTGTTTCCTAGTGTAAAGCTCAGTGCTCTGTAAGTGGTCAACACCTATCCATCTAACGAAACGAAGGTCCGAAATAAGCTTGAACTAGTGGAACGTGATACAGCACTTGATCCAGACAACTTGATCCTCACCCCTTTCTAAAAACGGAAGGACAATGAGAGTATTAGCCATGGTAGTTCATAAAGTATGAAAACTGCCAGAGAGGGTATTGTTAAAAAGTGTTTCTTTAATATTTATGACTATCATTCATGTATTAATTTGTTGCTGTTGGCTGGCTGGTTTCAACATAGAACTTTGCACCGATGTGCAGCAGTTCGAGTCGCTACACTTCACTCAGCACCTAAAGCCAGTGAAGAGGAAGAAATTAAAAAGAAATGCAAAACAGAGACAGATAATAGAGTTATAAGGAATAGTAATATCAAAGAACAATATAGTTTCATTGGGTATTATAAGTCACAAGGAGTGGATGCATTTTCGCCAGCCATGTAGAATGATTTTGAGCCATATCACCAATTGTCTCCGGCTTTCATTGATTTTTACTATCTCGACTACCCCAACCAGGAAATCTACACCTCCCTGGGTGGCTGACTGGCTTAAACTAACCGTTGTCGATTTCATTGACTAATGAAGCCATGTTAGTTTTGGTTTGACCACCACTGGCCCTTTTCCAACCTGACCCTATGTCAGCTAACA